TTTATTGGTTAATTATTACGGGCAATCACGGGTAGATCAACAAAAATTAGCCAATCATACGAATGTCTGCCCATGAAGATGCTGGTGAAACTGGAGACTATCTAAAATCTGATTGGCTGTTATATTAAATTTCACCAGTTTCACCTATACTTATAACTCAAAATTTAGTCTATAAAAGAACCTTCTGTGCATTAGTAAAAATTTTTCTGGTAAAATTTTGGTATATAAAATGCTTTCGAATCCTAACTTATGGGCAAACCCCTAACTATAACCTAACAGCACAAAATTTTACTTCGAAATAGTTTTGGGTAGTGATTCTACTCTAATTCCGGGTAATATTATGTAAATAATACTGGCCAAACTATTATATCATAGTATATACCTGGTGCATTTTTAATAGTTTCGAATATTGTACCCGGGTAGACATTTTTATTATATGGTCATAATGGATAACCGAGTAATTTAATAGTACCCGGGTAAAAAATTTATTAGCGGATACAATCTCTAGTTCCGAACGTAGCAACAGTTATTAATGCGTTGGTATAATTGACTATACGCCAACACAATATTAGAAATATTATTTATACCAAAATTTTACAAGGGAAATGTTTTATAACACATAGAAGCGAATTTCATAGACTTGAACGTTGGTTTAAATATTCTTGATCACGCTGCATTACGATTTTTAATACTAATTCCGGTGCCCGCATAATTCGCATAATTTAGGATTTAATTCTGGACACTCTATACTGGGAAAGATTTAATTTCATGTGATTGATAGGGTTGTTAATGGAATACTCCAGACTATAATAAACATACAACCCGCTTCTGGAGTGCTCCGGAGTGGGTTATATGTTTTAAAACAGGAGCGACCGTTCAAGATTCCGATATGGTTACACGATATACATTTTACAATACTTCTTTTAAAAGCTCGGGTAGCTTAATTTTCTATGAAACGAGAATAAATTTAACGGATGAATTGATGATTTTGCTTCGTCTATAACATATTCTTTGAATCCCTGTGAATCCCACAATTGGTTGACAATCACGTGTAATTATATTGAAATCATCTACAACCCTAGTGATTGACGATCCTAGATTTTTTTATAACGATAAATGCTAAAAATCTTACAAATTATGCATGCTATCCAGAATTTCAGAATTTATAAATCCGGTTCTTATAATTAAATCCGGATCTTCCGGATCTTATGATTAAATCTGGATATAAATGATTAAATCCGGATCCAGGTAATAATTCTAAATCAAGGCATACTCTTATGGGTATGCCCGATTTCCAAACCATTTACATATTGCAGTATTGGGGATTGCTTAATTAATTAATCATAAATGGATTATTTGATTAATAATCGTATATACATAATGATAAATTTGTTTTTTTTAAAAAAAAATAAGTATATACTTTTTAAATTGCAAATTTTTTTTTTTATTTTACGTGTTGTTATACGTACGTATGTACAATAACTGTTAATACTTTATTACATAATTTTTATTTCACTTACGTACGTACGTATGTTTTTTTGGTAAAAAAATCTGTATCGGTATAAATTCAATTATAAATCAAATAAAGTTAATCTATAAACCTCAATTTGGATTAGACTAAATCTTAAAGACAAAATAACACCCCGGAGTCTGATACTCCATTAACAATTCTAATATCTACCAATCGTTTATGATTCTGTTTCTGCTGATCAGCAGAACGGCGCCAAAAATAGTGTTACCTTGACCTAATCAATTCAAATATGTACGTACGTAGCTCAATTCTCTCCGAAATATAATGTGTCATGATTTGTAACCCTTGTAGCTATAAATCTCGTTTGACTTCTGAACATTTCTACTTGTAGTAAATACTACATTCGTAGTGCTAATGTCATTCGATTTTAACGAGGCGCCGATACTGCCTTCACAAGAAGACCATGATACGGGGGGAGGTGGTGGATCTTCAGATAAGTTTCAGAATGGTGATACCATTAGGACGATTGCTGGTTTCTTTGCTATTACGGCTACTTTTTTGTCAGTTATTTCTGTATGGTCTCACCTAAAACATTACAAAAAGCCGGTATGTATCTGCGTTCTTAGGCTTTTCATATTGAATCATGATACTTTATATATTGATTTTGATTTTTTCGTATTCTAGTTATTACAGCGATATGTAGTGCGGATTATATTAATGTGAGTTTAGATGACATAATGCAATGCCACGTGATTTTTCTATTAACTCTTATACTGTAATACTTGAATTATTATTAGGGTGCCAATTTATGCTATTTCTTCTTGGATTAGCTTGACCTCAACAAATGCTGCCTTCTATGTTGACTGCATAAGGGATATGTATGAAGTAAGGATTACAACAAATTAAACAAGTTGATCCATTGATTTGATACTAAATTAATAAATTTCATATTATGTCCATAGGCATTTGTGATCTATTGCTTTTTTAATATTTTAGTAAATTACATTGGCGGAGAAAGAGCTCTCCTGACCTTACTTCATGGTCGTCCACCAACTTCACATCTTTTTCCTGTCAATCTATTTGTCAAAGAAATGGATGTTGGTGATCCTTACACGTTCCTCTTTTTGAAACGTGGTATTCTTCAATATGTATATTTAAAACCGGTGTTGGCTACTATTACTATGATTCTAAAGTGGTCAAATGCGTACGAGGAAGGCTATATTGCACTCGCAAATGGTTATATATGGATATCTCTGATATATAACGTTAGTTGTTTCTTATGTTTTTACTGTTTGATAATCTTTTACGTTTGTACAAAAGATGATCTAAAACCATATCGGTGAGTCATAAACGTTTTATTTATTTATTTATTTATTTATTTATTTATTTTTTCTTGTATTAAACACTATATATTAGTTATTAAACTATTAAATATCATAGACCTATACCGAAATTTCTTTGTGTAAAAGCTGTGATCTTCTTTTCTTTTTGGCAAGGGTTTGCACTTTCAATATTTGTGTATCTTGGAATTATTCGTGACAGTAAGGTTCCATTTGAGTTCTCTCACAGCAAATAATGTTTAGAGTAGATGAAATATATATACTCTCAGCAGGATCTTACTGTGAAAGAACCAATTTCATATTTTATACCTAGAACGTATTATAGAAACGATTCTGATTATTAATGTTCTTTTTTTATAGCCGAAGTGAATTCAGCGCAGAACATTTCAGTTTCAATTCAAGATTTTCTAATAACTTTTGAAATGTTGCTTGCTGCAGTCGCACATTGGTATGTTTCTTTAATGATTTGGTATGTTATAAATGATAACATTTAATAATATTCAGAATTTGTAAACTACAGGTACGCCTTTTCATACAAGGACTATATCGATCCTAGTCTCCGATCAGGCCGTATGCCCATTAAATATGCTTTCAAAGATTGTGTGGGATTCAGAGATATAATAGAGGATACGTTAGAAACAATCGTAGGTTCACGATTTAACTATAGAACTTTTGAACCAGCTGAAGGCATGGCACATATTGGCCCGAGCAGAACAGCAAGGATAATGGCTGGTTTACGAATTACTGGTGGTGGCACTGGTAAATATTGGCTTCCTGTTCCAAATTCTCGTACACCTTTACTTTCTGGGCAAATGGATGATGATAGGTACAGTTTAAATTTTCATGATCCTGATCCGAATGATGAAGTGGAATACATGTATTCCTATAGTAGGAAATTGGGTGAACATGGGGACTATAATTTCCCTGTAATTGATTCCGACCGATATAAATACCAGAGACCACCACCTCCAAAACCACAAAGAAAAAGAACTATGTCCAAAAGAAGATCAAAATTAAAAGGAAAGGGAATAGCAAAAAACTTTTACTTTGAAATTGGAGATGATGATGATAATGCTGAATCTGAAAGTAAAGAATATTCCAGCAGTTCTAGTATTCCACCGTTCCGTGATGGTTGTGTGGATCTTGTTAGAGAAGATGGAAAAAGGTTGGAAATCTATACTGATCCTATTGAAACTTTGTCTCATGGTCCACCTTCATCAACATTAACACAATCATACGAGTCCATATTGGCAAGAGACCCGTTTATTCAAGAACCGATAGCATCTATGGATGTGCCTCAACCATTGCCAATAAGTGCAGTTAATCCAGTTCATCCACTAGAGATGCCGAATGCCTGGCTAACCTCGACTGATTGAGCCGAGCCATTTGTAACCTAGCGATTTGTTAGGTTGCTATAAAAAATTTTTTTATTGCAAAAAAAAAAATTTATAGCAAATTGTTATTTTAATAATATAAAATATGTATTATCATTTTGTTTAGAAAAAAATCTAAAAAATGGGATCATCTATATACTGCACCCTACGTTACACCTATTTACTGCAGGGTCTTGTGTAATCACACGTTCTTTTTTTCATACGTACGTACGTACGTACAATAATATAGTTCTGTATAGGGTATTTTTTACAGGGCAACCCAAAAATTCCGGATCGGAGCTGGGCTGGCATTAGCTAGCAAATTATCAAAATTATCACCTAGATTAATGAGTGGCTAAATAAAATTTTATGATCTTAGCAAAATTACACAAATCCGGCCCATCCGATCCCGACCGGAATTTTCTGTATCGTGTTTAAGTTGTTTGGGGTGGAAAATAACTACGGTTTGTCATACGTTACCTAATCTGCCATGTGATTTACTTATTTATACAAAAAATTTCAAATTGTAAATATTTTTAAAAATTTTATATACGTAGTATATTATAAACTATATAGATATATTAAAAAAATAAAAATAAAGTTTGTAATTGATTATAGTATATTATACTGTAGTATATTATAGTAGAGTTTACAAAAACATTTATTATTATTATTTTTTTTTTTACTTTAGCGATCCTACCCTTATTTTTTAAATCGGTAACAATTTACAGCAAAACTTCAGTTAGCTAAACCTACATTATCTATACTATTAACTGCTATTTACCTGTACAAATAAAGGTTCTCTTGGTTTGTCTCATTATCATAGCAAAATCACAAGCTTAAGTGCTAGAGTATGACCCAGAAGTGACCTACCTAAGTGAACATTTTCTCCTTCTGGGATCAATGGATGGTTTTCACCAACCTTGTCAAAATCACTGCTCTACAATAGAGTTTTGTCAATCTGATAACACTTTTTTGTAGAGAAGTAAAAAAGAAAAAAGGGGTATGGGTAGAATGAATAAGGGGTTGTATATAAACAAATATACAAAGAAAATTATCAAATTATAAAGGAATTTAAAAATTATCTTAAAATTTAAAAGAACTTGTTTACAGATAATAAAACCTGCTAACCAGATAAAAACCTATTTATATAGATATAAAAATCTATATATAGATGTTTTTTGATAAAAAAGAGGTAAAAAGTTTTTAATAAATTTTTTTTAAATTTTAAATTAAAATATTCTAATAATTATTAAGTTAAATTAGTGATAGTACCTAATCTAAAAAATGCTACTTAGTTATCTAATAGTAAACTTGTGGATTATCCAGGTGATCAACAAATATGGGAGGAGTCAGTAGAAATAGGACAAATCATTTTTAGTAAATTTTTTTTAATTTTTAAATTACAATTTCTTGACAACTACTTAACTAATTTTGATAA